CAATTCCAAAGTAATAGAATAATTGAAAGATTCAATCAAATTATAGAAGAATACTTAGTTAAGCTTTTAGAGAAATATAAATAAGATAAATAAATATATTAAAGTAATTCTATTAACATATAGAACTAGAAAATACGAAATAATTGAATTTATTATATTTTAATTGACCTATGATTACTAAGTTATATTACTTATAAAACTAATAATCATAACTTAGTTATCTTTGGAAAATTATAGTCTATCATCATTAATTTGAAGAGTGCCATCATATATATTCTAAACTAAATCAAAGAAATATTAGAAAATAATAATAGACTTAAATAATAATAGAGAATCTGAAAATTACAGAAAAAGTTTAGAAAAGAAGATAAAGTACTTTTATACTGAAATCAGTTGAAAAATAATTTTTCAGCTAAAATAGAAGCTAAATGAATTGGATTCTATTATATTTATGTAATATATAAGAAGAATAACTATAAATTAAGAATCTAGAAGAAAAGCTTCTAAAGAATTCTATATATAAAAACAGATTGAAAGAATATTTTAAAGAAATTTCAAATTAATAATAGTAATTAAAAACTTTTTTTATAAGAAGAAAATGAACTAAAGGAAAATAAAAAGGAAATAGAATTTTAGAATAATGATTAATTTGATAATTGACTAATTAACTAATCAGATCATTAGATCTAAATGATCAAAGTATAAAAACTATATTATTAACTGATAATTTAGAAAGTGTTCAAAAGAATTATAAGAAAATCAGAAAAAACAAGTTGAGTTATAATTAAAGATGTGCACCATAATTAAGAAGTTGTAACTTGGTATATTACAACTTGAGTTGCAACTTGGTTGCAACTCCTTGTAAATTTATTTTAATATAAAAATACATAAATAGTTGCAACTCAAAGTGTTGCAACTTAAGTTGCAACTAGTTAAAAATTTTAAAAATAATTATGGGAATCATCTTTAATTATAATAATATATAGTATTGAAAAAGAGTAATAATTAGTATATAAATAAATAAAAAAGTCAAGGGAATATGAAAATTAGAAGAAAAGTAAGTATAAGAAATTTAAAAGAAAAAGGGATATAAAAAGAAAAAAAGTAAAAATAAATAATCTATAGAGAAGGTGATTTAATTACAAATTAAATAAATTTTTTAAGTAAAATTAAGAAGTTTTTAAACTTCTTAGTTGAGAAACTTGTTGTATTTAAAGAATTTCTAGAGTGTAAAGTAAAGTTGCAGTTTTTGTAAACCCTTAAATTAGCTCTTCTAAAAAAATAAAGAAGGATTAAAATATTCTTTTAAAATTAAAAATAAAATTTATAATTGAATTATAATAAATAAGTGAACGAAATTCATCTTAGTAACACTATTATAAATATAACAAAATTATGTAAACATATATTAATAAAAATATTATAATATCTATTTTAAAATAAATCATATGAATATAATATGTGATAATGTTTAAGAAAACTATCAGAGATGATTTATATAAAAATTCTTTAAATAATTTTACATAAGTATTATGATCGGATAAATATTACATGATATATGTGGTACAGATAATTGCCAAATCTGACAAATCTAATATTTTTAACATTTCTGATATATCTGATATATGGGAGCTTTGCAATAGAAAGGGAGGAAACTCTAAAAAAATTAAAATTTTACTTTCTAAGCTAATTATGATTTTTTTTGTAAAATAAGTCCAGATTTAACATTAACTCAAAAAAAAATTTTTTTAGAGTTTCCTCCCTTTCTATTGCAAAGTTCCCATATCTGATATAATCAATATATTAGATATAGTTAACAAATTAGACATATTTGACATATTAGATATATTTGTTATATATGATAAATTATACATATATTATATATTAGTTTTATCTTTCTATGTAATATATTTTATATAAATAAATAGCCTTTTAGTTTATAGTAACACCTTCATAAATGCACGTACTTGGAGCTGAACATGTATATGCATTTAAAGAAGATATGCATTTAAAGAACAGCCAATAGAAAAATAGATAATATTATACAGATATGGTAACTATAAATTCAAAATCAGAGATTAAACTTTTTTATTTATTTAAATTAAAAACAAAATATTTTTCCAGCTCAATACATTTTACATAAACGGCATAAATCACAAGCTAAGTATTACATCTTATAAAAATATGTGTCAATGTTGGTTTATTACATTAAGCTTATTTTTTTAACTTTAAAGAATTTTTCAATCTTTTCTACTAGTCTTACATATTCTACTGCATTATCCTATTGGAGTATAAATGTGCATATAGTTTCTAAACTAGCAATTGTAATGTTAGTACTAATAATGGGACTTTCACAACTATCATCCATTTCTTCTGAATTATTATTTCCTTTATCAGTATTCTTAAAAAGATATGCAAGTTCTTCGATAATTTGATAATCTTTGGGGACTTTATCAGTAATATTCTCTTTAGAAATGTTAAGAAACTCTTTTAATAGCATTGGATAAGAGAGATTAAGGATTTGAAATATATCTACAATATTATTAAGCACTAAACTTTTATCTTGACAGATATTTTCTGAATCATTACTCAAATTTGTATTTGTATCAGAAAGAATTTTTGTATAATACCAGCAGTTACGAATGGTTTCAGTTTTAACCACATTTTAGGCTTTGATATAAAATGAATTGCCTGTAAGACATTCATATATAAATCTTTCACATAGTTACTTGTCTCTACATGTTGTAGCAATAAGTTATTAAAGATAAGTAATTAAATTTTAAATGATTAATATTAATATATGACAAATTTAATATAAATATATCTTATCGCACATAATGACAATAATAGTTTTTTAAATGTCATGATTATTACAATATCTATTAGCTGAGCTTTTTGAAGTTATATTCAAAGGCAAAAAACAAATATCAGTATATCATAAGGAAAGGCTAATTAATTTATGGTTAGAACAGTTATTAAGAAGAAGTAATACACGTTGGTCTTGATGCTTTAGGCCAACTTGATGATCAAATTTCTGAATCCACTCTTAAAAAAGTGACATAATTATCCAGGCCTTAGCATTATTATAATATATTATAGACATATTTTAAATATTTATATTTTTAAAATAATGTGATTTTTTATATTTACCAATTATTAAAGGATCTAATTTGTATGAGCTATCAAAAATTTACACATAATGCAATCAAAAGACATTTTTTATTTACTTTACGTCCAGTAAGATGTTTGATTACAAATGTTTGATCAGGTTCTAATCTACAAATATAATCATGTAAGATAAGTACATTTTTTTTAATTTTTTATATTACTAAAATTTACTTATAAAACAGTCTAGTTTCATCCATATTATAAATTCTCTCAGAAGGATAACTGGAACAACGTTCTCTTAATAAGGGTAGAGTATTAATAATAGCAACTTTATTAGTGGATGAAGCTTCTCTTTTGAGCTTTCGTTGATGAATATTATTGCGATCCTTAAACTTATGAAGCCATCCTGGGGAAAATTGTAATGCATTTTGAAGAATTTCTAATCTATCAGCAAGCATTTTAGCTTTTTCAATAAGTATCACATTACTTAAAATTATTTGATACTAGTAATTTAAAACAAATTTCTTGAGTGCAAGATCAAGTTCTGGATAAGAAACAGGTTAATGTCGCTTTGTATTTAGACTAATTATTTCTAAACTAATTCATTTTTTTGCTGTTTATAGAATACGAGAAATAGTACTTTCATCAACTCTAAAACCCACTATTCTTCAATCCAATCAACATATTGAGCCCAAGTTTTTTATTATCATGAACATAAATGCAAAGATCTCACTTTTGAAATTCAGTGAGAGTAGTTTTTTTAGCATTAAGAGACATTTTTTAGAAACGTACAATTAATTCTAATATTATTAAATAACATGGTAACAATTGAAGAATAAGTAAAGTTACATTGAAACTATATAAGTTTCTCATTTCTCTTTTCTTAATTTAAACATATAACAGGATCTAATTATTTCTTTTTGTAATACTTCCAATAATCTACTTTTTTATTTTAAGAGATTTGTTTATTCATTATCATATATTATTTTTCTGTAAGTATAATTATCTCATATAATCATTACTAAAATTTTCCTAACTAATACTAATTTGGATTAGTCATAATAGATCAAGCTAAGATACAATATTTGTTTATACACTTATCATAGTTTATTCAATAAATTTAAGAAAGCCTTTTTGCAAATGTTTTGAATCAGATCAAAAATCATTTTTTGATAGTTAAATATATTATCTAATATAATAAAAAAATTTTTTTTTAAAAACATTATCATATTATATATAAAGTTATTTAAATTATTTATGCAAATTTACTCATTAAATAATATATTTTACTTTTAAAATTCGGGAAACAAATTTAAAAAATTAATCTATGATCAGAAAGTTATCTTTGATTGGTCATTTTTATGTGATTGTCACATGTGTGCATTTATAAAGAGTATTTTAATATACTCGGAACTCAAAATTACTTGCACATATAGAATATAAAAGGTGTGTACTTAGCTCTAAGTTCTAAGCTTAAAACTGAGCTACAGTATGCATATAGAGAGGGTATGCACTTATAGAGGATGCATTTATAGAGGTGTTACTGTATGTAAAAAGCAGGATTTACAAGTTGGTTTATAGTAATTTTAAGAGACAAACAGGTCTATCACATTACCGTAAAGCGTTCTGTATAGTACCCTTCTATATATAGTACCCTTCCCCCTTTTCAGACGGGCTAGAATGTATAGTATCTGGGGTATTATAAACCACAAATTTTGCTACTCACTGTATAGTACCCGGGTACTAATATCGTAATATTAATAAATTAAACAATCACACGATTACATTGAAAATATTATTTAAAATAAAGTTTTATAAAAGCAATTTCTTTATTTTATTGTTCATTTAACAAGCAGCTTTATTATATATTCATTAAAACATATGCCTAATGTTTAATTCCATAGATTTTCATAATTTTCTATATTATCGCTATACATATTTTCATCAATTAAGATTTCTTCTTCAACAGGTTCATTTTCAATATTATCTTTTAACAAATCATAATCAAAAATATAATCATCTTCAGTATCATCTTTTTCCACAGAAATGCCACAGCATTTAAATGAATTTTTAATTTTTATTACATTAATACTTTTCCATGCTACTTTAACCCATTGTGCAACTTTACTATATGCTGGTTTTTTAATTCTACCAGCTGGTGTTAATTCATGCA